TCAGCCCTTCTTCCCCACTGGCGCCTGGGGGCTGCTGAGGGTCCCAGCCCTCTGATCCTGCCTTGTCCTTCTGGTGACCAGCCTGACCTTGAAGCTGTCTGGGGGTCCCCAGGTTTTTTTTTAAGCATACAAAAGACATATCACTCTGGAGATTCCAAAGGTTTTAGGAGCTGGAACGGGGAGGAAGATGAAATATGTATTTCACAATATCACAGCAGACTAATGTTTCTCATCAAGTTTGGGAAGTTTGCAGCCATTATTTCTCCAAATATTCCTTCTGCTCCTTTTCTTTCTCCTCTTCTTCCGAGTCTCCCATTAAATGTATGTTGGTCCACTCCATGGTGTCCTAGAGTCTTTGAAATCGTTCATTTTTCTTCATTCTGCTTTTTCTTCCTATTCCTCAGGCCGGAAAACCTCAACTACCCTATGTTGAATTTTGCTGACCCTCCTGCCTACCAAAATCTTTTATTGAGCACTTCCAGTGAAATTTTCATTTCGGTTGTACTTTTCAGGCCCAAATTTTGTCTAGAAAGACTTCTCCAGGCACAGTTCTGTTGATTTTTTTCTGCGTATGGTTCATACCTTTTTGTCATTTTATATCCCTTTTAATTTTTGTTGATAACTGCACATTTTGAATATTAAAACGTGGCAACTCTGGAAATTGGATTCTCTTTGCTCCCCGGATCTGTTGCTGTTATTGCTTGTTGTAGTTATCCTTATTTGCTTGTCTGAACCCATTCTGTAAGGTCTGTATTCTCTATTATGTGTGACTCTTGAAGTCTCTGTTCCGTCAGCTGAGTGACCAGCTAATTAGATGGAGATTTCCTATGGCAGAAGGCTCTGTGTGCTGGGGCCTCCCGTGCTCAGCCGGGAGTGCACAGCTCTGCTTCAGCCTTCGTTCTTGCTCCCACAGAGCCTCAAGGTCACCAGGAGGCAAGAAGGGCTTGGGCCGTCACGGGTCTTTCTCGATCGTGCATGTGGCCTTCTAGGTTCCCAGGAGGATGTTGGAGCTTTTCAAAGCCTTTTCTCCCAGGCTTCTTTGCTGCTGTTCCCTCCAGCTGCCGTCCATCACCTCAGGCAGCAGCAACCAGGACGTGAGCCTGTACATGTCTTCAGCAAATGCCCCACCTCCTGCCACGGCAGGGTTGCCAGTGGCACATTAGGTGGAATCACTGCACGCCTGTGAGCTGGTCCTCCAGGGACGGATCAGAACGGTAATCACTTACACATCTTTGTGAGCGAGGTATGTTCTGCTTCCTGAAGTCCTGGGTAATCAACGCAGGTTGAGGATCCCTTATTGGAAGTGCTTGGGGCTGGAAGTGTTTTAGATTTTGTGTTTTTTCAGAGTTTGGATTATTTGCATTATACTTGCAAGTTGAGCATCCCTAATCCAAAAATCTGAAATCCAAAATGCTCCAATGAGCATTTCCTTTGAGCTCAAAAATGTCAGTGCTCAAAAAGTTTCAGATTTTGGAACATTTCAGATTTTGGGTTTTTGGGTTAAGGATGCTCAACGTGCACCTCAAATCTAGCTGTCATTTCGCAGCTGCTGCGGGGCTGAGGAGCAGGGGGTCAGACAGGACACGTTCAGGCACCGCAGAGTCACTGTCTTCACCGGCAGCTGCTCCTGGGTAACCGTGACCTGGGCTGTGCAAGTCTTTGGTTAAGAGAGATCCAAAAATGTCATTTCTGGCATCCCGTCCCTGACCCCGCCCTTGGTTTTTAGTTGCTTTCGTGGAGGTGCTGAATTTGGAGTAACTTTCTCTGCCATTTTTGCTGAATACATTTTTAATATTCTGATTTATAAGAATGTTTCAGATTTTTTTCTCTTTTGTCATTGTATTAATACATATGAGAAATAAAGTAAGCATTTTTATTCAGCATGGTTGGGAATGCTGTATTCTAGTCAATAGATCTCTTATTAATATCTTACTGTATTTTCTAGATTCACATATTTAAGAACTTTATAATAATATTTCATTATTATAAATATTGCAAACATCATAGAAATTAATTTTTTAAACAGTGAGTAAAAGTCTCTTCCCTCCCCCGTTCACTCTCCATGTAACTATAACCAACAGTTTTCCATTTTTTCTGTAGTGCACGTACAAACACGTGGAGTGCCATTTTATGTAAAATTACTGTTCATACCATACATGATTTTTAATATCTGGATAATTAGAATAGAGTATGCTTAGTATCAAAATGACACTAAACACTTGTATTTTAGTGACTAAGATCCCACAGGACTGTCTTCTTGAGCATCTATTGCCGTGTGTTGCTATGCAACAGCTTTAGCTGTGGGTACCCAGCACTGCCTGTCTGATAGTCTCAAGACTGAATTGTCACAGAGATTCGAGTTCAGGGACCTAACGATGACCTGGGCCAGGCTCCTTCCCACCCAGAGGTGACAGTGGACCCACGAGCTGTGCTCGGGTGGCAGGTTTCTGGGGGAAGAGCCAGCACCAGAACCCAGGTCCCCTTCTTTGTGCAGCACTCTGGAGCACTGCCAGTCCTCGGCTTGGCACCAGGGAGCAGGACCGGCCCCTTCAGTGGGTCAGGGGTCGTCCACATGCGCTGCCTCATGGAAGCAGTATTCACGGTGGATGCCGGCGTCCTCGCTTTGCAGAGTGACTTCTTAAACTGCCTTTGTAAGAGACAAGGCCCGCTTTGAATGCATTCACCTTCACGTAGAGGGTCCCTTGGCCAGGCGTGTCGAGTTCTACCACACCTCACATTGTAGTCAGCGTGGAAATAGTTTCCCTGAACGTAAAAACAGACGTTGGGACATGATGTCCTTTATCTTCTCAATTACGTGTATCTCATTGAGGATGTACTAAGAAAAGAGCAAGTTGAATTTTAACCTGCTGGAAGATCGCAGAACAGAAGAACTCCACGGAACTGTTGCTTTTGGCCCGCTGGTGGGCAGGGTGCTGGCATCACATGACCTTGCTGCCCTGGGAGCAGGCTAACGAGGCCCGTTGCACCACGGCTGCCCCAGCTCCTCCTCTCAGAGACCTGGGGGCGTTCCCCTCAGGATCTGAGTGGCGGGAGCGCACCGCTGGCTGCAGTCACGCTGATGCATTTGCTTCTCTTTGCAGACCTCGCCACTCCAGAGCCACGGGCACCGACTCCTCAGCCAGGACGTGCTCAGCCATGGACGCGGACGACGAGGCAGTCCTGAACCTCATTGCTGAGTGCGAGTGGGACTTGCGCAATCCTCCTGGGAGCACAGGCTCCGGCCAGCAGGAGCACGAGGCCAACGCGTGCAGTTCCCAAGGTGTGCTGCTCGGCCCTCGCGGGGCCTGCGTGCTAGTAGTCACGGGCTTCAGCACGCACAGGTGTGTGCCTCTTACGAGGCCTACCTGCAAGGATGGGCTCTTTGTGAAGTCTTTGTGTGCTTTTGAATGCCAGCAATTTGGACGACAGAATTATAAAAGGGAAAGTTAATGTATTTGAGTCGAGCATAGTCATAGTGCATGGTTATTTAAATTTTATTCTTCTCAGATCACGGGAAAAGGTAAACCGTGTAAAACAAACAGGAAGGTCACGTGTCCGTGGCTAGCAGAGCTGTCACCCACGTTAGCCACAGGGGCGACGTGGCTGCTCTCAGCACATACCAAGCCCAGGCTGCCCAGTGTAGACCCCAGGGCTGACCAGGACACTGTGGACTTTCCACTCAGGGTGAGGACTTGGTGTGCTCGGCCCAGGGACTCTGCTTGCCACTGGGACTTGTTCACAAGCGTTGGCTTCCTTCGTTCCTGTGCCGTTACGAGTTTCTGAGAGCTTTTCATGAAACCAACAGCAGGCTGAGACGTGAGTTTTGGGCTGAAATCCCAGATTCACCTGTGGCCTGAGCCACATCCCAATCGGCATTCGGCACCACCGGCCCCTTCTGTTCTGGCTCCTCCCCATGGCGTGTCACGGTTTAATTTGCGTTTTCCTGGAGACTTGATGTTGAAATACCGGCCGTTTGTTCATCTTTTGTGACTCCTCTATTCACCTCTGCCCACCCGCTTTTGAGTGGGGTTGTTCCTGTTCTTGGTGTTGAGTCGTGAGGGTCCTTTGTGGTTTTCGAATACAGCCCTTTCTCAGACGTCAGTACTGCAGATTTTCTCCCATTCTGTGGCCTTTTCATTTCCTTACCAATGCTTCAAAGACCAGAAGTTCCAATTTCAATGAAGGCCTGTTTATGAGTTTTTTCTTTAATGGTTTGGGCCTTCTGTGTCCTATGAGGAGCTCTGTCCACCCCGTGCTCCTGTGCCTGCCTGCAGATGCCCTGTGGTCTGTGTCCCGGCAGTTCACATTCTGGGTTAGTTTTTACGTGTTGTGGGTTGGGGAGTCAAGACCCCCGCATACAGTTGGCCCCTCTTATCTACTGGTTTTGCATCCAGAGAGTCCATCAACCGTGGGTGGGAAATATTCGAAATATATTAATGCAACAATAAAAAATACAGACAAAAAGTAAGACAGTATAACAACTATTTACATGGCATTTTAAATTTTTTTACTTATTTCTATTCTTAATTTTTTTTTATATGTGGGGGTCTCGCTATGTTGCGCAGGCTGGATTATAGCTCCTGGGCTCAGGCGATCCTCCTTTCTCAGCGCCACCACGCCCACCGCACGGTGTTTAGGTTGCGTCAGGTGTGACAAGTGACATGGAGATGACATGAAGCGTGCAGGAGAATGCACGCAGGTTACGTCATGTACTTCAGCACCCTTGGACTTTGGTGTCCTTGGGGGGCCCTGGAACCCGTCCCCCGTGGGCACCGAGGGACAGCTGTGTATCTGAGTGTTATAATGACGTTTATTGGAAAGATTTCGTCCTCGTTTAATTATTAATACCTCGACACACGTGCTGAAATCAGGTATCTGAGTCTGTTTCTAGATTCTTCTGTGTGGGGATCGCCTGTCTTTGCACCCTCACCCCCCCCAACTGCCTGGTGGCTGCAGCTTCGCCGTTGGTCCTGCGCTTGACGGCATCTGCCCCAGCTCTGGACTGTCCTTCTGGAGCTTGTGGAGCCGTAACGTTGGCTGATGCATGACTAACCCACTCAGTTGTCTTTTTCCTATTTAATCGATTTAAAGAAAACGCAGTTAATAGATAGATACCATACACTCTCGAATGCTTAAAATGTAACTTTTAATGAAATGACACTGTTGGAATGTGCTTTAATAAAATAGAGTCCAGACATCTGTTGAGCCCTCCATCAGTGTGGCACCAGTGTGGGGACTCCGCGCAGCAGTGCCAGGAGAGGAGGAGCCGCCCCCGAGGCTGCTGTGTGAAGCAGCCACCACAGCGTGGAGCTGCGCCGGAGGCTCAGTGCGCCTGCGGGCCACACGTCCGCTTCCCCCCACACCCAGGTAACCATGCATGCGTTTATGTGTTTGCTGCTGCTACAACAGAATGCCAGGGATTGGGTAATTGATAAAGAACAGAAGTTTATGTGGCGTGTGGTTTTGGAGCTGGGAAGTCCCAGAGTGTGCACCAGCACCTGGCGAGAGCCATTGTGTGGCGGTAGGTGGCAGGCAGAAGCAAACGCAAGAGACAGACGTTACACGGGGCTGAGCTTACCCTTTTATCAGGAGCACCCTCCCACGATGACAGCAGAGCCCTTGTGACCTGATCACCACTTGAAGGCCCCACTTCTTCATGCTGTCACAGTGGCAATTGCATTTCCAACACGTGAGCTTGGGGGCACGTTCGATCCGTGGCAGCACTCAGCCCTGCCAATTCTTCTCCATCGGTTCTTTTGTAAGCACCTAACTATTTCTCACGATGTCTGCTATTATTATGAAATTTCTCCTGTTCTCCTTTTTTGTATTTGTTTGTGGAACTGTCTAAAATGTCTTAGCAAAGTATGTAGTACATAGAAATTTACAATCCATCCCTACTTTAGATTCATGGTCTGTAAAAAGAGGTGCTATTTCTCTGCACATGCGTGCACACGCACACTCTCTCCCTCCCCCACCCTTTGCTCTCTCTCACTCACACACTCACTTTCTTGTTAATACACGGCCCGGATCAGGGCAGTAAGGTGCAGAAGACTGCGCGCTAAGTTAACTGAGAGCGTCATATGCATCTGTGTGGCTAGAGCATCAGGAAACCTCCCGGTGTGAGTGAACCGGCACCTCCCAGAGGCTTCTTTGGGCCCTTGGTCAGAGGGAGAACAGCCAGGTGGTGACCTGCCAGCCCCCGTGAGCCGTGGCATGGTCACCTGGAGCTGAGGCTGTGGCCGAGGCCAGGGTTACCCTCCTGCTTTCATCGTCCTTCCCTAGGCCGGGTCCCGCGTGCCCTGTGTCCCACACCTCCTCGGGCACAGTGGTCAGCAGAGTCGCGGGATGGGCCGTGACATCTTACCCCTTCACCACTCTGCAGAAACGTGCAGATGCTTGATGTTGCTCAGAGCCCGCATCGAAGCACAGTCCATGTGAGGCATCAGAGTGCACACGCTTACGGAGAAGCTGCCACAGCAGAACAGGCACGCTTCGTATCTGCTTCCCGCAGACTCCGCACGTTCACGCCCTTCCCGTCTGCCCTCCACCCCCGCCCTCCATGTGTGCAGGTGTGGATGTGTGTACGTGCATACACACCTGTGTATGTACATATGTATGTGCACACGTGTGCACACGTACATACTTTCTAAAAATTGTGATACTGGCCCCTGAGCCCAGAGAATTTGGTCTCACGAGGGCTTGGTCCTCTCTGTGTTACAGACTCCGTGGATGTTGAGGACTCTTCCTCTTCTCAGAAGTCAAGTTTGTCAGGACAGAAGGTGCTGCGTCCTTTGTCTGGCCCTGAAAAGTACAGGAAGCGAAGAATGCCTGGTGGGAGATTCCAGGGGCCCTCGGACCAGGAATGTCTGAGCTGCCTGGAGAGGACTGATGGGCCCTCCAGCCCCACGGAGAGTCTGAGCAGACAGAACGGCTCCGAAGGCAGGAGTGAGAGGACCTTTTCATCGGGAGCGGAAGAGCAGCGGTCTCAGGGCGCAACCGATGCCAGAGAGGTGAGCTAGGGACGGCAGCCACCCCTAGCGCCGCTCAGCCACACGGGACTGTGTATGTTCTCAGTGTCGCCCGTGTCCCAGAATGGGTGTTGCTCTGAGCTGTGCTCTTCCTCAGTGTCTGCTGCCTCTGTTCTGGCGGAAGCTGGCCCGCGCGTTACACCCCTCCTGCATGTGGTCTGAGGTAGAAGCGCAGAAACGGGTGGGCGGGGCCTTGCCCGACTTGCTGGTACTCGGCCGGCTGGAGCCCTTGGTGACCCTGTCACGAGGGGCGAGTCCTGGAAACGCGTCCGTGGTTTTCCAGAGAGTTCTCCCCATCAGAGGGACCCAAGGTCGCATGGACAGCCCCTCTGTTGCCTCTGCTGCCTGGCCCCGCTGGACACTTTGAGGTGTGCCTGCTGTGGTCATGGGGAGGGCCACCGGGAGGAGACCAGCCAGAGGCTGGTGACTCAGCGCTTGCTAGACAGGCAGACTCAGGCGGGCAGAGGAGTGCGCAGCACACGCGGAAGCAGGGAAGGAAGGCTGTGGGCCTCCCTGTGGCAGGACGGGGGGTGTCTCTGACTTTCCTGGTCGGTCCTGAGTTGGAGGCACAAATCCAGTGATGGCTGCCCGGGGCGTTGCTCGACTTCCTAGACCACTGCCTAGAGCGACTGTCTGGCGTCCCGCAAGCCTGGCTGGGAGAGAGCAGGCAGACTTGCGGGCAGAGCTGTGTGTTGCCATGTGGCCTGGCCACGGTCTGTGTGTATCCTGTCTCGTTGGATTGAGGGGAAGGGGCAAGGGTCCTGCTCGAGCTGGGGGCATGCTGGGGCTGCCCTGTCCTGTCGTCCCCTTCCCTGACCCCACATGAGCACCAGCCAGCTGTGGGACAGGTGCCGCCAACGTGCCCCTCCTGCGGGCACAGGACAGCAGCCTCACGGCCCCCCTGCCCCTGCCAGCAGGCACACCTGGGGGTGTACACTGGTGTTAGAGACCTCGTTTGATGGAGGAACCGGCTGGCGTCATGATTTTGTTTCCACAGTTGTCACCCAAATTGCGCTCAGCAGCTCTGCCCGGGGAGAAGGCTGCGCTGGAGGTGGTGCTCCTAGAGGCGCTCCTGGACCTGGTGGACAAGTACTGGGATGGCTGCAGGTCCCTGCACAGCAACGAGGTGTTCCTCAGTGAGTCGGGATGTGAGCGGCTCAGCCCCAGGAAGCATCCGGGTCCTGGGGTCTGCGTGTGCACCGCGTGGGGCTCCGAGCATTGTGTAGTTGTCCTGGCACCGGGGCCTGACGTCTCTTCTGCCTCCTGCCGCAGCAGGGGCCCTGGGGTTTGTGGAGGTAGCTCGTCGTCTCAGTTCGCTGCGGATGCTGCCCACAGATGCCAGGTTTTCATGTGGGGATTTGCTGCCGCACCTTCTCCCAGTGCCCCGCATGCTGGCACCGTGTGCAGCACCCTGGACTTGTGTAGCTTTGGTGGGAGCAACTTGGAGCCTGGGAGGACGGTCCCCCCAGAGAGGCCTTGACTCTGTTTCTGTCAGGTGGCCGGTGTAGGAACAGCAGGGTCTTCATCCAGGGTCGTGCTATGAGACCAGGAGCCGCTGCGTCCCCAGTCGGTTGCCTTCTGTCTGTCCTGCAGCCTGGGTGTGGCTGCTAGTGTCCCTTGGGGGCCGGGCCTCACCAGCTCGCTGGTCCCCTTACACCCTGAGCACCGCCCCGGCGGCTCCTGACCCTGCATACGTGCTGTGGCCCCACAGCTCCTCCTCGAGTTGGGACGCCCTGAGAAGCTGCAGCCCCTGGATCCTAGCCCCATAAATGTATAAATCTCCACCCTCTCGTGAGGGCAGGGCCGTGGAGGAGCTTCCTGAGCTGGTTCTAGCTGGCGGTAGCAGTGGGGCTGGCCTGTTGTGTGGAGCTGCTGGCCGTGGTTTGCACAGCAGGTCCCGGGCCAGGTGCCGTCAGTGCCCGGTGAAGGTGCGGCGAGCTGCTACAGCGCCCGCCAGGCCTGCCAGACATGGCTGTCCGTGATCAGCAGCCATCTCTCACTGGTCACTTTTCTTCTGGAATGAAAGCCATTTCCTCTGTTCTCCACCCCGCCCACAGCTAGACCTAGGTATACCGGAGCGAGGCGGTTTTATGGTACCGGCTTCCCTTTGCCGCTCCCCAAGCCTGTGCGTGGTCCGTGCAATTCAAAATGTATCGAACATGCTTTGTCTGTATTTCATCCTTTAAATATTAATGCTGTGATAATATTTGATTTTTACTCCTAGCTCAGGCAAGACACATTTTGTCCTCTGTTCAAGAATTTACAGCAGCTCAGGACAATTCAGTGGTTGTGAATGAAGAAGTCGGCTACCTGACTCTTGAGAATGAATCTCTGCAAAGTCACCTGGCCAGCCAGCAGCAGTGGTACACTGCAAAGGTGGGCGAGGTGACGGCCGAGCTCAGCCGCACTCGGAAGGAGATGGTGAGCCTTGCCCTGTGCTGTCCCCATGTGTCCACGGGGCTGGGTGGAAATGTGCTTTCGACTCCATGGGACGAGGGCAACCTCTTGACTCCGCACCACCCCTCAGCTGCCCTCAGCTGTGGCACTGCGTGTCCCTTCCTGCTGGGCTCTGGCTGCCCTCTGGGGGTACCACCTGCCTCTGTTCCACTCCCAGGCCCTGCAGATGCTTCACTTTGAGCTGGCGGTGGTGCTGCTCAGCTGCCTTCTCTTCTTGGAGGGCTGGGCTGGGGGGACGGAACTGGACTGAGGCCACCGCCCTGGTCCTTGCTGTGTCCTGCCTGCCGGCTACCAGGGCATTGCTCTGTGTGACCTGAGGGCTCTTCCCGCCAGGTGGCACCCAAGGGCAAGCTGGGGCCCAGGCTGAGCCTAGACAGGTTTTATGGTATTTCAGACCATTGAGATGTTCTCCTTTTAAAAAGTCGATACTTTAAAAAGCTAGCATCCCCCCGTTGAGCGGCTCAGCTGTGGGGCTGCCAGCTGGGTCCACTGGGCAAGGCACTTAACCCCTCTGGGCAGGTTATTCATTGCTGCATAACGGATTACCCCGAAATGAGTGGCCTAAAGCAATATGCACTTAGCATCTCGGGGGTCTGCAGGTCCGGGACGTGGAGCTGGCCACAGTCTCACCTGGGTCGGGGCTGTCCCCCAGTGCTCACTCGCGGGAGGTCTTGGCTTGACCTCTGCCTCTCACTGGCTGCCAGAGCCCTCAGAACACGGGGCGGGGGGCCAGCGAGAGCCAGGGCTCGGCCAGCCTTGGAGCCCTTCCGCGAGGGGAGGCCTGCGAGGCCAGCACACCAGGAGGGGTCGCCGGGCCACTGGTGCTGCCTGCCTGGCGTCTGCGTGAGCCCTCATCTGTGCAGAGGAGTGGAAATGGCCGTGATGGCTGGGACTTCTGGATTGTCTGACAGGCACTTACTATCTCTCTTTTGTGAGAACCTACCTTTCAGAGACCCCACACAAAACCTCGTTTTTAGAGAAAAAGGAAGGCAGTGAGATGATACAGTCCCAGATGCACAAATAGCTCCTGCATCTGCAAAGCAAGCCTGGACCGCAGTTGCCACGCAAAGCATCTTTTCCGCAGGACCGTCGACCGTGGGACACGCACGGCCTGTGAATGGCAACGTGGGGGATGGGTGCAGATGCAACGGGCACACCCCTTACCTGCTGCGCTTGGCCCCAGCTGGATCCAGACAGACAGAGCCCAAGAGTCCGCTTTGTGCTGTCCAGTGTGGACGTCATGCACAGACGTGGCCCAGTGGATGCTCCTTCATCCTCCGCATAGTCTCAGGCCACAGGATGGGAGTGGCCCAGGGTTCCCTGTCCGGGCGGGTGATCCGGAACATTCTAGCAGCCCCAAGTCCTGCTGGTGCTTCTTCAGGTCCACCCATCGACCCCTTCCTAGGGAAGTGGTGGTCAGCAGAGCGTGGCCAGGATTGCTGTGGTGGCATAGCCCGGGACAGCTGGAGCTCGGGGCAGGAGCCCTGTGGGCTGGCAGGTGCTGCTTTCCAGGGAGATGCCTCTGTCATTCCAGAAGGTCTGTGCCAAGCTCGAGTGTATTCTGCGTGGTGAAGACGTTCACCCTGTGGTCACGTGAAACTTGGTGGTGCTTCTTGGACAGCTGCAGTCGCGTCTCCTGCAACGAAGGTGGAGGCCCCACTCCCAACCACGTGTTCTCTCAGGCAGACGTGCCCAGTCCATCCACTGCTACCTACGCTCGTCACAGCCTAGACTTTGAGAGCTGGGAGCCCAGAGCCCTGCTTCATGGAGCTCACCCCCGTGGAACCGGGAGTGCTGCACGGGCGGCAGAGTGTGGAGGAAGCAGTGTGAGGAGACCCTGGAGCGAAGGAATTGAAAGGTGAGCCTGAGAGAAATGACCTCGGACCAGCGACCAGCTTTTGCCACGGACACCAAGGGGCCTGGCAGGCACGTGTGTAAGCAGGCGACTTGCCGAGTGAAGAGCAGAGCAGAGGTTCCTGAACATGCGTGCTCATGTCTCATGGAGACCCAGGTGATAGCTCCCCTGGAGGAAGCAGGCGAGGTCTTCCCAGAGCCTTAGACCCTGGATGTGCCTTTGCTGGTACCGGGGCAGCGCAAGCAGGTGATACTGCGGGTCCTCGGGACCCTGGCTGCAGCTGCAGGCGGCTTGGATGGCTCCCTTGTCACCAGGACTCCAGGGCGCAGGAGGGTCTCCAGGGAGGGGCTGGGAGTGCCGGGGCAGATGCTGCCGTGTGGCAGATGTTGCCGGGCAGATGCTGCCGTGTGGCTGGCTCAGACAGTGGCCCTGGCCCCCCACCCCGCTCTTCAACATCTCATTGTGTGCTCAGTGTCTTCTCCACGCTTTGAGGACTGTAAGGGGCCCAGCCACAGTTCCCCCCTGTGAACAGGGGTGGCCGCGGAGCCCAAACGCAAAGGGCTTCCTGTAGGGACCTGCGGTGACCATGGGGCTGTTGGAAGGGGCAGGGCCAGCAGCTGCACACACGCCTGGCAGGGGGACTCGTGTGGTGTGTCTGCAGAACTGGGACCCTATCCGCCTTCTCTGTCTCCCACCCCCAAGGTCCAAGGTGCTGCAGTGCTGGGCAGGGACGTCTTGCTGGCAGGAAGCTGCGCAGTGAAATGTGGTTATTGCTCTCACATTGCGATTCAGAGTTATGGAAAAGAAAACAAACTCTGAGGATTATCAAAAGGTTTCATTTTATTTTTTACATGCATTTTACTGAATTTGACTTGTGTATTTTAAGTGTATTCTGTGTTCCTTAGGATGACTTGAGACAACATTTAGACAAATCTTTGGAGGAGAATAGTAGCTTGAAATCTCTTTTGTTCAGCGTGAAAAAAGAAGTTAAAAATGCAGATGCTTCAGCTACATTAAGTTTGCAGATCACTGGTAAGTTCATAGTTTATTTGGTGACATCACTTTGTGAAATTTAAGTTTTCAAATATGGATATGTAGTCTTCATTTTAAATAGCTAGCAGTCAGACACAGCAAGTACTACTTCTGAGTGGGGATCCGAGCCCCTCCCTCCCCGGTTCCTGCGAAGGCGGCCTTGGTGCGTGTTTGTGGAGCACACCCTGGGGGCCCTGTGTGGAAAGAGAGCTGAGCAGAAAGGAGCAGTGACCCCGTCCTCGCCACACCTGCCACTGCTGTCCCAGGCGACGACACTGGCCCCATGCAGGTCTGCAGGGTGGCCTGGTCACCACATGAGTTTACTGCTCATGGTTTTCTTTGACTTTTCTTAGCAACCTCCTCCGGTACCTTCCTGTGGTCGTGGTGCTGTGGAACTGGGGAGGGAGCCTGTCGCCCTGCCTCTCTCCGTGTTAGAGATTCAGGCTGCGTTTCTACTTGGGCTGTGTCTCTCCCAGCAGATGTCCTGTGGCTTTTTCTCTTGGTCACTGTTTCTTCCAGATCCGGACAATGTTCATTTGCTTTCTTGGGTTCTGTTCTGCCATGTTTACAAAAGTATATTCAGTATTTCAAGTTCAGGCACCTGGGTTTTAGACAAGGTAGTATTGATGGTGTTGTCTGTTTTCCTTGGTAGCCTCTGCTGCGCATGATGTGGATTCTCCTGAAAGATCTAATCTGCGCCTCACTGAGGACTGCAGGCTGAGCCTCTTCCCACTCTCATCTCCCAGGAGTCCCAGGACTTCCTTTAAGGGCCAGGTGAAAATATTTCAGGGCTCATGGGCCTAATGGGCTCTGTCCCAACTCACCGTGCCTTTGTAACACAAAAGCAGCCACAGATGAGACAAAGTACTCGGATCTTTTGCCCATTTTTTTTTTTTTTTTTTTTTCCGAGACAGAGTCTTACTCTGTTGCCTGGGCTAGAGTGCCATGGTGTCAGCCTAGCTCACAGCAACCTCAAACTCCTGGGCTCAAGTGATCCTGTCTCAGCCTCCCAAGTAGCTGGAACTACAGGCATGCGCCACCATGCCTGGCTAATTTTTTTATATATATTTTTTTAGTTGTCCAGCTAATTTCTTTCTATTTTTTTAGTAGAGATGGGGTCTCACTCTTGCTCAGGCTGGTCTCAAACTCCTGACCTTGAGCAATCCTCCTGCCTCAGCCTCCCAAAGTGCTAGGATTACAGGCGTGAGCCATATTGATTTGTTTTATTGAGTGGTAAGGGTTCTTTATCATTTTTTTATTTGCATAATTTTTCCTTTCATCTTACGTTTCTTTAAGACATGACATCATTTTGTTCAATGTTTTTTTGTTATAAAGTTGATGAGAAAAAAAAATCAATTCCCCGCCAGAGCCACTGTCTGCATGGAGTTTGCACGTTCTCCCCACATCTGTGTGGGTTTTCTCCAGGTACTCAGTTTCCTCTCACATCCAAAGGCTGTGCGTGCAGGGTCATCGGCAGCCTAGACTATCCTAGTGTGAGTGAGCGCGGGTGTGTGAGTGCATCCTGCGACGGGGTGGCATCTTGCCCAGGGCTGGTGCCTGCCTTGTGCCTGCCCTGAGCTGCCAGGATAGGCCTCGGCCAGCCACAGCCCTGAACTGGAATATTAATCTGCGTTAAATATATCTATAGCTCACATTTACTTTAATGTTTAATATTAGAAGTGTTTTGATCTTTATCTAGAAGTTCAGTGATGTTTTTGTGACTAAAAATGTGCTGTAGGAACTTAACTCTTGCTTATATCCATAAGCCTTTGGTAAAAGTGGTTTCGATGTGCGTTGTTTCACTTAAAGCAGTTTGCGGGAACCCGGCAACCACGCTGAGTGAGGACTTACTGTACTTTCTCTTGGGTTCTTTCTAGCTTAGGCCTCGTTTCTAGTGTGATTTTTTTCTTTTGTTGCTAATTCTTTCCCAAGTTTAGTCACCTCTTTCCTGACATTTTCTGATTCTGTTCTTTCATGTCTTATATCATTTCCTTTTTGTCTTTAGCTTGTTTTAAAATAGTGGGTTATGGTTTGGGTCTGTTCTGTGGGCCTGGCTTGCATTGTCGCCGGGATGCTGTTGTGCTCTTACCCTTTGTCTTATAAAAATGTGGGAGATTTGACTTTAATACTTTTCTGTTCTTCTTCACCTGAAATTTGTTCTCTTGAATTTCTAGGAGTCAGGGTCAGGACAGCTTGTCTGATCTCATGGATCAAAAATCTGGCAGCCTTCTTTGGGGGATTTTCAGGTCCTGTTCCCTCCCCAACCTTCGCTCTGGTGGCCTTGACCTTGACCCTGCACCAGTGGGCCCTGTTCTTGAAGGGACTGGGCAGGTCAGTTTTGAGGGGTCACAGGGTTGCCCCAGCCCCTCCAGACTGCACACAGCCTGGTCTCACCCTCACTAGAGGGGCGGGGCTGTGGTTCCCAGCGGAACAGGACACTTGCGGGTCCTCCCATTCTCGGATCTGCCAGCTGCCCCACTGTTGACCGCTGCTTCACCCCCACAAATGTGGACAACATGCGTGACTTGTGGGTGTCGGGGGTTTGTCACAGCCTCTGACGTTTGGGATCTTGAGGCTTTCTTGTCACAGGGGGGCTGTAATGTTGTCCGTGGGGCTCTGGTTTTGCCATCCGATAGTCCTGGTTTGACTAACGTGGAGATTCTGGAAGATCTCGAAACCATGCTGTTACTGCCCTCTTCCCAAAATTCCTTCATGCCCTGCAGTGGACGTGTTAGTAGATGGGGATTCTGAGTGGGGTTGTCTTAATACTTGCGGGTGCTCTTCCACTGTTGTGGGACTTGATGAGGAGAATCTGCCATCGGTGTCAGTACCCATAAACTGCCCACTCCGGCTTTCGCCTGGTCTCTGGCATTGTGTAGTTTTGCAGTGGTGTTTCTAAATGTGGGTTTACTTGTATCCCATGTTTGGATTTGGGGAGCCAATAAGTAATTTATCTCTTCCCCTCTTGAGTTAGAAACCCAGAAGGAGATGGGAATTGTGTCAGTAGAAACCAATGACATGCTCCCTCACTGACAGGTGTGAAATCAGAGGGCACGTCAGAGACAGGTGGGCTTCTCAGTGCTTTGCCTCAAAGACACAGGCCCTCCCCTCAGGAGCAGAGTTTGTTTCCTGGTGGAAGAGAGGCCCAGCCAGCCCGCAGATCCTGGAGGAGCCTCCAGCCACTGCCAGGACCCTCTACGCAGGGATGTGGCTCTTCCACAGCTTCCACTCCAAGGAGGGGAGCCAGAGGTGGGCCCTGGGGTAGAAATGGTCAGACACGTCAGGTGAGGCCTTGCATTTGTGTTCACCCTTTCTTTGAGTCTCATAAAAATGGATTTTTTTCCAGCGATATTTTTTTCTTGAAACCTAGATCCAGTTTAAATCTAGAATTGACTTTGTTTTCAAAATGTATGAATACGTTTCAGTAAATAAAGCTATACTTTGTTCTCTTTGAGGACTTCAAACAAGTGTGAAGAGGCTCTCTGGTGAGATTGTGGAGTTAAAGCAGCATCTGGAGCACTATGACAAGATCCAGGAACTCACCCAGATGCTGCAGGAGAGCCACAGGTGCCTGCCTGGGAGGCCTGGGTGGCAGGAGCTGAGGGGAGGAGACCCGGCACAGGGGGTGTGGGGCTGGCCTGTGTCATGCCAGGAAGGCACTGAGGGGCAGCTGATGGCGAGTCTTGGCAGTTGCCATCCAGGACCCACGTGCACCACTATGTTGACTTGAAAATTCCATGAACTTCCCTCTCTCAGTGAAAAGTGAGGCTCTTCCTGTAGTAGTATTCTGTAAGGTGTGACCTATGAGGTGTGACCCTTGTGGTATAGATCCATGAAGTGTGGACCTAGAGATGTGACCTGTGAGGTATAGACCTGTGAAGTATGGCTGTGAAGTATGACCTGTGAAGTGTGACCCATGGAATGTGGACTGTGAGGTGTGAACTTGTGAGGTGTGACCTGTGAAATACGGACTGTGAGGTGAGACCTGTGAAGTGGGACCTATGAGATGTGACCATGAGGTGTGAGCATGAAGTGTGACCTGTGAAGTGTGGACTATGAAATGTGACTTGTTTGTGAGGTATAATCTGTGAAGTGTGGACCTAGAGATGTGACCGTGAGGTGTGACCTGTGAAATGTAGACTATGAGGTGTGATGGTGATGTGTGCCCTGTGAAGTGTGACTTGTGAGGTGTGATCTGTGAAATGTGGACTGTGAAGTGTAGACTGTGAGGTGTGATTTGTGAGGTGTGGACCATGAGGTGTGACCATAAGGTGTGACCTGTGAGGTGTGACCATGAGGTGTGACCTGTGAGGTGTGACCATGAGGTGTGACGTATGAAGTGTGGACTGCGAGGTGTGACCATGAGGTGTGATCTGTGAAATATGGACTGTAAAGTGTAGACTGAGGTGTGACCTGTGAAGTGTGGGCTGTGAGGTGTGGCCAGGGGAGATGAGAGGCACATGTAAGATGGTGTGACATGGGTAGAGTGTCCTGGCCCAACTGGGCCATGTGCCTGCTGCCTGTACCTTCCCTGTACTTCCTGGCTGCTCACTTAGAACATGGAGCTTCCACCTTCACTCCCTGGTGTAGGGTGGTGAGGAGTGTACTGGGCACTGGGACCATCAAGGCAGAAGCTCAACTTCTGTTCAGAGACTCGCGTGATGGGAAGTGGGTGGAGGCTGGTGCAGAGAGGATGTTGGCCTCCGGAAGGAGGTGAGCTGCCAAGGCAAGGACAGGTCACTCTGGGCCGAGTGGTGTAGCTGTGTGAGCCATGTCTTGTCGCCCAGCAGGGAAGGCAGCCTGTGGTCAGTGCCCTCACCTCCTTTTGGCCCTCATCTGCCCTCCCGTCATCCTATTCTCTCACTCCCACTCCCTGGGCAGAGGCTACCACACCCTCTGGGTTTTGGTGCAGTCTGATCATAGGCACAGCCAGGCCCTGTTCAGGCTGAAGGCCACAGACCCCTAGGGGCCCATCATAGGCATAAGTTATAGAGAGGAAGGGGCTTCTGAAAGGTGAGATTGAACTGAGACCAGATGGGGAAGAGCAGAAGGAAGGAGAATGTGACAGCCACAGGTGCAGGCCAGTCATGGCAGGGACTGACCAGCCTGGTACCTGACGGCCCATCTGTGGCAGGTCAAGGTGCTGGTGGTGCTTCTCTCTGAGCACTGTGGCCTAAATGTGAACAAGGCAGGGGGCATAGCCTCCTGATGCCCCTGGAATTCCTGCTGATCGTGTCCAGTCTGAGCTCTGCCCAGCCAGCGTCTATTACGGTGGTCCAAGCAAACGGAGCCAGCGCCTGCATATGGGTTTGTTGTCTTTGTGGCTAAAATGGCTGAGTTGAGTGTGCCCTGCTTTATATAATGCTTGTGACACTCCAGATGTCCTTAAGTCACTGCTGACTGGGGGTGACAGAGTTGGTAAAATGCAGCAGCACTTTCTTTCTAAAATCCCTTCTGAAATAAAAATGGTTAGCGATATTGAAAATCACAAATTTTCTATTACACTGCTACTATGTCAGAATTACTGTATTTGGGAATTAGAAATAGTTCAGTCTCTGGATCTTTTCTGGAATCAACACATTGTTTTGCTAGCCGTAAAAGTTATCATCATCTTTTCAAGAAAACCATGCAGGGCTGGAATGGGGGGAGCCATTTGTTTGCTCATTGCCTGGTCAGCTCATTCACTCATTCCTGCAGGGCGGCCCCAGCACCACCTGGCCTAGAGGGAGGAGGTGGGCAGCAGCCAGCAGGACAGCTGGGTGGGCCTGGTACGGCCTGGTGGTGGGACAAGCCTGGCTGTGTGCAGGGGTTGGGTGCCAGTGGGCTGAGGTGGGCAGGCCTGGCCAGGTGAGGGCTGCTGGGGAGGAAGCAGAGCCAGGGCCCAGCAAGGGCTGACGCGGCCTGTCCTCCTCCAGCTCCCTGGTCAGCACCAATGAGCACCTGCTGGAGGAGCTGAGCCAGGCTCGGGCGCAGCACAGGGCAGAAGTGGAGCACATGCACTGGAGCTACCAGGAGCTCAAAAAGACCATGGCCCTGCGTCCCCACAATGGCACCAGCCGTGGTGGCTGTCTGTCCTGACTCCTGTGGAGAAGTTACGTGGTTTGTACCTGTGTGTTTCTTCCTAGGGTATTTGCTGGTGAGCACTGTCTCTTCTGTGTGTAATTACTGCTGATTTTTGAAATATATTTAGGGTTTGTAGCCCTGTTTTCTAAAGTATCTTTAAATGATAGGATTAATCAAAGCCCTTTGTGTATTTTGAGACAAAACCCACTGGCAAATTTTGAGAAAACAGACCATTAATTTTTCATCAAATATCCTAAGATGAAGTAAATGCAGTGTTTTTCTGCCTAATGTAAAAGAGAGCTATGCGTGACAAAGAAAGTAATTTTTGTGTAACAAGCAATTCTTATCCACTGTAATGTATTGTTCTGAAAAGCTAACTTTTCAAGTGGCTCTTTATAGAATGTAACTGAGTTTCTTATTGAATTCTTTTATAAAAAAGGATACGCACCATGGTAGGTGAGCAGGAATAAATAAGTGCAAAGACTTAATACAAGTAACATTTATAGATTTGGGAACCGTTTAAAATAGTTTTATGATACTAACATAACACAGTAAAAACATCTACCCAAGCCCCAGCTCTCTTTTGCTTGTAATGTATTTCTTAAAATTATGTCATGATAGGACATAAAACTAGATTTTTGGAAACTTCACCTTTTATGTAATATTTGCTCTGATTGGTAAAACAAGGGAATTTTTTGAAACAGTGTTTAATAGATTTAGGACCAGTGAGCAGGCCCTAAGAAGAAAGTGCTCTCTGCCGTGTGTGTGTGTGTGTGGGTGTGAGAGTGTGTGTGTGTGTGAGGGTGTGTGTGTCTGTGTGTGTGAGGATGTGTGTGAGGGTGTGTGTGTGTGTGAGGGTGGGTGTGAGGG